AGCACCCATCTAGTTGGCACACATCTAGGGGGAGCCCGTCTAAATTCTAGAGAGGAGGGGTTTGCGGTTGCTTAATATTATTTCCCTTGTGCAAATCTTGTATTGTCATCAATCCACCAAAAAGGGGGGATTGTAGGGGCATATTTATCCCTAAGGTGTTTTGGTGATTGATGACAACGCGTTTGCGGACTAATCATGTGCCTTGAGTATCCCAGACATTTCATCGCTAGGCACAAGACGGTTGGGTGCCCCTCGAAGACTGTTGAAGACGACGTCTTTTCTACGTTTCTTTTTGGTGGATTTGAGTCATAGGAAAGACGTACTATTAAGAGGGGGTCCGTGTCGGAAAGGTTTGGGTGGAATCATCACGTACACGTTTCTTCCTTGTCCCCTCCTTTCCCTTGCACCTTGGAGCTTCCTCTGTTGTTTATCCCGTCACCTTGTTTCTGGCTGCTGTGTTGGCCTGTGGTAGTACTGCTCCCAGGTGAGCGGTAGTACCGTAGGCACCAGCGGTAGTACCGTGTTGCGGCGCGGTAGTACCGCAGGTGCCCACGGTAGTACCGCTCCCCTGGAACTGCACTACCGTGGGCCACCAGGCTAGTACCGCTCCCCCGCGGTAGTAGGGGCGGATGTAATTTTTTACATCCGCGCCTATCACAGTAGTACCGTTTTCATTCTGCGGTAGTATCGTGCTCAGCTGCCAGGCGGTAGTACCGCCGCTTTGCGGTAGTACTATGTCGGGTTTTTGCTTCTTCCATTTTTCAATGGAAGTAGGCACGGTTGTTTCCTTATCCTCTCTCTTCCCAGGCTAGGGGATTCCTGTCTTGCGGTAGTACCGCAAGGGGGAGCGGTAGTACCGCGCCAGCGGAAGTACCGCCCTCAGCACTTGTGCCACAGGTCTGCCCTAGCCGTTGCTGGTGCAGCGGTAGTACCGCAGGCCTGCACGGTTGTACCGCGTGACTCTGCGGTAGTACCACTTGGCAGCAAGCGGAAGTACCACGTGGCTCCACGGTAGTATCGCTTGCCTGGTAGTACCGCTGGCCGTGGGCTGATAGGTGGATAACGGTTGGATCTTTGTCTCTCACTATATAAGGGGTCCCCTTCTTCCCCGTTGACTTATCTCTTCTAACCCTAAGCTCCATTGTTGCTCTAAGCTCCATTTTCGCCCGATCTCATTTCCTAGCCAATCAAACTTGTTGATTTGCTCGGGAGTGGTTGAGAAGGCCTCGATCCACACTTCCACCAAGAGAAATTTGATTCCCCCCACTAATCCCTTGCGGATCTTGTTACTCTTGGGTGTTTGAGCATCCTAGACGGTTGAGGTCACCGCGGAGCCATAGTCCATTATGGTGAAGCTTCATGGTGTCGTTGGGAGCCTCCAATTGAGTTGTGGAGATTGCTCCAACCTTGTTTGTAAAGGTTCGGTCGCCGCCTCCAAGGGCACCAATAGTGGAATCACGACATCTCGCATTGTGTGAGGGCGTGAGGAAAATACGGTGGCCCTAGTGGCATCTTGGGGTGCATTGTGCCTCCACACCGCTCCAACGGAGGCGTACTTCCCCTCAAAGGGAAGGAACTTCGGTAACACATCCTCGTCTCCACCGTCTCCACTCTTGGTTATCTCGTGCCTTTACTTGTGCAAGCTTATTTGTATCATATCTCTTGCTTGCTTGTGTTCCTATCCTTGTTGCATCATATAGGTTGCTCACCTAGTTGCATATCTAGACAACCTACTTTGATGCAAAGTTTAAATTGTTAAAGAAAAGCTAAAAATTGTTAGTTGCCTATTCACCCCCCCCCCCTCTAGTCAACCATATCGATCCTTTCATTGTGGAAGTTCTTCTGCACCACATTGGCGCTAAAAGAACCCTCTGCCCCTTTCACGTGCGAGTCCTTTGCTCTCGAGTTCTGCTCAACACTGAGATGACCAATGACATCCTCAACAGAGAATTCACGTCTCAAGTGCTTGAGAGAAGTAGCAAAGTTCCTCCAACTAGGAGGGAGTTTTGCAATAATGCAACCCGCGACAAACTTGTCCGGTAACTCACACTTCAGGAGCTCCAGCTCCTTAGCAATGCACTGTATCTCATGAGCCTGGTCCAATACAGAACGGTTATCAACCATCCTGCAATCATGGAACTGCTCCATGGCATACAGCTCACTGCCAGCATCAGTTGCGCCGAATTTGACTTCGAGCGCATCCCACAAGTTTTTGGCAACACCCATATGAATATAGGCGTCAACCAACTTGTCTCCAATCACACACAGAACTGCTCCCAGAAAGATTATGGTTGCCTCCCTAAACGCCTTCTCCTGTTCAGGAGCAATCGTTTCTGTGAGGGACACACCACCAACTCAGAACACGTTCATCGCTGTGAGCCACAAGGTGGTCCTAGTCTACCAACGCTTAAAATGCGTCCCGGTAAACTTTTTTGGTTTCAGAGTAGCAGCAAAGCCTTGAATCGAAAAGTGCCTAAAATAAGGTTTTTGGATTGTTGGAAATATTAGCACTTTTCCGATTAGACTTATCCACGAGTAAACAGTAAGCATGGCATAAAAGATATGCATCTCATAGCAATACCTAAGCATACTAGTACGTACAGAACATAGAATCGAACCTTCTATGAGCAGCACATATACGGCTAGCATAAGTATGCGTAAACAAGGGATGAGCGGATCATACCCTCCGGTTGGCCAGGCCAACGCGGCGGCGGCGGCAGCAGCCTCGGCGTCATCCGTGGCCTTCTTCTTTACTGCGGCGTCGTCAGCCATGGTGTCGATGCAGGAGAAGTAGTGGAAGCAGAGGCGAACGGAGTTGGGGACGGATCGAGAGCAGTCGCGTCGAGACGCTCCCCAAAAACCTTATTGCCGTTCTCCCGGGCAGGATCTCGAACGACAGGGTTCCGGAGGCACCTGCTCTCCCGACCAGCCATGCACGCGGTCGTCGGGATGGAATCGTCGGAGGCAGCACAGAGTGAGAAACAGTAGATGACGGCTAGGTCACGCGAGAGGGAGTGAGTGAACCGAACTAGGTTACTTCACTGGCCAGAGCCTTCTTATATAGTCCGTAAGGAAGAAAGTCGTGGGCCTTGACGAGGCCCACGACCGAGTCGGCCCACTCCCTGCAAGGGAGTCGTTGTTCCCGGCAAGGGTCACACTCCCTGCAAAGGAGTCGACGAATACGTGGGTCCTGGCAAGGGTCGCACCCCCGGCAATGGAGTTGACGAATCCCGGCGACGCAAGTCAGCCCACAGTCCAACGTCTTGGACAGTGGCCCACATGTTAGCGACTCGTTAATTAATCCCTGATTAATTAATTCATTCCTGAGCGGCAAAAATAAGTTTCGTCTCGGCTCATTCCCGCAACCCGAGGCGAGGCGGGCGGCGGAGGAGGAGGAGCGCGCGTGTACCACTCCTCTTTCCAAGCTCCCAATGGCAAATGGTAGAGCAGCACTTATAAAGGGGTCTCAACTCTCCTCAACTAGCAAGGTGGGACTAAACTTCTCACCACCTGCCATCTTATACATGAGCCTCAAGATTAACCAGGGATTAGTGTCTTATATGGGCCTAAGCCCATCCATAATCCAACACACAATGTATGCCAAATTGATTGTGCCAAATGTTAAAATGGCTTTTGGCACCGGTGAGAGCATTGTGGAGGATGTAGCCAAATTAGAAAAAGAGGCATCGATGCTCCTTGCTTTGATGCCAAACAACCTCAACTAATAAAATGATAGATAAACTGATGTGAACAACCCAAACGTTGTGGGTAAAGAGAGATGTGGTAGTGTTTTTATCCTATTCTTATTTTGTGGTGGTCCCCAGTATGCATAAATTAGGAACCAACTAAAGTTGTGGACTGCTAGTCTATTTGATATCGGTGCCAAAACTCTGACAACGTTGCAAATTTGGCAGCATCACATTGTGGATGAGTACCAAACACGTTCCGGTTGGGCACGTCGGGGAGTGGCCTCGATCAGGCACCACAGTAGGAGGTACTGGCCGATTTCGCCATGAATGTCTCGCGCCCATAGGTGTCCCGGCAAGCCCTCGGTGACCGTCCTGACCTTTCTGCACTTTTTGGGAATGCATGCGTAGAGAAGGGGGGCGATCTCGCGAATAAAGCGTCACTTGCGACTTGAGATGGTCTAATTTGTTTTATCCGTACGAACGAACAGGTAGTTAGCTAGTTTTCCTGTACAAATTAAATGTGTTTGGCTTTTCAAGCAAAATAACAGTGTAACAGCATTTACCTCAAAAGTACTTCTAGTCCTGAGCTCAAATGAGCTCGGGTGGGTGAACAGTAAAATCGAAAAATATTGATATTTTTTAAAAAAAAACAGAATAATTTTAGTGACAAACATTGACAAAAGCTTTCGGCGCTTGCAAAATTTCAGCATGAAACGACATTTGTAAAAGCTGTGGCAAAAAAAAACCCACCACCACTCCCATTTACCTTCTTTTTATCTCCCTGGAGACCAGGAGTATATATTGTTTGATTTCTTCAATATGAAGTACTCCTCCGACCCAACCTTAGTTCAAAGCTGCGACATTTATTATGATCGGAGGGAGTACCAAGTATTAAACTCACTTAACACAGTGACAAAGCACTCCTCGCTAATATAAGTATAAAACTTGCTTAACACAGAATGTTGATCAGTTCACCAGTGCACACATTCGGTTTGTTTCTAAAAGACTGATGTTCTACCATCCAATCACACGAAAAAGGAACAAATTGTAACACTGGTCTGGTTACAAACTCGAACTCGACAGCTCTTTGCACTGAGAAACCAAAGCCACTCTGAAATTGCTCAAACGATGAGATATTTAGGCAACTAGTTTCGGTTGGGTGTGTGATATACACATAGCACAGCTCCCAGAGAATCACAAGCAAAGCGGGGTAAAAGTATTGCATATATGGTTTGCCAGGATTCAGAAAATCTCGAGTTATACCATAGAGAGCAGCAGCACCAAGGGCATGCACCATGAAGCACCAAAACGCTATACCTCTGGCTGCTGACTTGTAACATCTTCTTGGTTAGAGGCGTCATCAGGAATACTGGAAGATGGGCTTTGTTTCTGACTTGTAACATCTTCTTGGTTAGAGGCATCATTAGGAATACTGACAGATGGGCTTTGTTTCCTTTCTGCCTGTAGCGACCGGCACAGGGACTCGAGTTTGTCCTTTTGATTCTTATATTTGTCTAGTTGCTTCTTCATCACCTCACGCTGCACGCATGACCAAAAATAGGTTCTAAGTTAGCAACATGCGTACCAACTTGCACAAAATTCTCCTAGTATGCAAGCTAAGGTAGATGAAACTGCGTAACCATAAAAAATAAATAAGGTGATACCACACACGGGTATGGTATTAAAGGAGATTAATATGAGCTATCAAAGCATGTGGCTATTAGCTTCAAACAAATAAGATCAGGTAGGTGCGCTTGTTTTCGAGCATCCTGACTAGTTTGTATAATGTATGCATTACCTCCTCAATGAGCTTCACAAGAGCAATATCTGAATTCTCGCACTTGTTCTTCAGGGCTTCATTTTGCTTCCTAAAGTCTTTTATCGCCTTCACCATCTAATGTGGAGATAACAAAATAAATTTTAAGTTCTGTAGGCAGAGCAATTAATAAGAACAAAGGTTCAAAGCAGAATAGCAGATACAGTGATGAGTGTGAAGTGAGATGGGTAAAAACCTGTTCCATTTCCTTCTTGTAAGTTTCGAACACTTCATTGCTTTTTGACAGGGCATCCTGAAACGATATAATGGAACACAACATTTACACCTATAATCCCCATTAAAATGGATAAGCTGGAATGCTGTTGAGAAAATTCCTTATTTGACACTGTCTTAAAATCTGGTTCCTTAGGGCATCTCCAACAGTTGTAAGATAGGTGTTGGTAAATTTGCCACCTAGGACATAGTGATGATGTGGCATATATTAAATGTGGAGAGAGAGCATAGTTGTATGTAGATTAACCAACAACCTTTGCACAAGCTCCAAGATGAAATAGAGAGCAATCACATTTATTTTCTCACCATCTATTGGATAGCTTACATACAACCCATTGGAGTAGTTGTATGATAGCTTGTTGGTTGATGACATGGACATTTTACCAACAAGACTAACATACAATCTGTTGGAGATGCCCTTATTTGACACTGGAAAAGTTTTTCTTCCCTATTTGACACTAGTCCTAAATTTTATTCCCTATACGACACTTCCGTCCATTTTGAGCCTAAATGACACCTGAAAAGACGATTTTGCCCTTCATGTGGTATGTGTGTGCGCGCGCGCGTGTGCTGTTGCGTGTGTGGGTGCACGCGCACATGTGTGCTGCTGCTGCATGTGTGTGTGCATGTGTGCTGCTGCGTGTGTACGTGCGTGCGTGTGTGTGTGTGTGCTGTTGCGTGCCTATGTGCTGCCTGCGTGTGTGCTGCTGCTGCATGTGTGCTGCTGCGTGTGTTTGCTACTGTGTGTGTACGTGCGCGTGCG